TGACCCCAGGACGCTGCGACCGTCGTAAATATGGATCATTTGTCAAGCATTCATAAATCAGGTGACCACTGGGGAAGCTACAGAGGTCATAAGCGTGAAAAATGGTCATAAGTCAGTTCTTTTGGTGCCGCTGCAACTTCGAACGGTCGCTAAATGAACGGTTGTAAGTCTGGGACTGTCTGTACTGAATTACAAACCATGAAAAAAGAAAAAGAAAGGAGGATCAGACAGGCTCCTATTGACTTGGTAAAGAGCAGCATTTTTGGAAAAAAATAAAAAATCGTGCTTGCAATGTGGCTCCAGAGTAAAATTTCTTCCTTAAAATCCCTCCGCTTTCGGGAAGTGGCTTGTAAGGAGTGGCTTCCCTTCCCCCCATGCCAGAATTTTCTCCTTTTTCTTGCAAAAACAAGGAAGAAGCCGTGTGAGAAGGGAGGAGTGGGGGATTGCCCAATTGATGCAACGGAATCTGGGAGGATTTCAAAACTGGTCAGCCTTGTGGATTAGACCTTCCTGTAGCTGATTAATCCCTTCAAATGGCAAAGTGTCTCTCAAGTCTTCTTCAAGGGGGGGAGGGGGTGAAACACGGAGAGCTGATTGGATTGCATTTCACCCAGGCAAAAGATTAAGCTGGCTTATTTTGCTATTCAAAACAGAGTTGGAAGGGACCTTGGAGGTCTTCTAGTCCAGCCCTAGAACTAAGGAGAAACTTCCTGACAGTTAGAACAATTAACCAGTGGAACTACCTGCCTCCAGAAGCGGTGAATGCTCCAACACCGGAAGCTTTTAAGAAGACACTGGACAGCCATTTGTCCGAAATGGTGTAGGGTTGCCTGCCTGAGCAGGGGGTTGGACTAGATGACCTCCAAGGTCCCTTTCAACTTTATCATTATTATTATTAAGCAGGGGGTTCTATACCATTCTGGAGAAATAGCTGTCCAATCTCTGCTCAAAAACCTCCAAAGATGGACCACTCACCACTTCTGGAAGCAACTGATTTATTGTTCTAACCGTTCAGGAAGTTTCTCCTTAATTCCAGGTTGTTTCTCTCCTTGATTAGTTTCCATCCGTTGCTTCTTGTCCTGCCTTCAGGCGCTTTAGAGAATAGGTTGACTCCTTCTTCTTTGGGGCAACTCCTGAGATGTTGGAACACTGCTATCATGTCACATCTAGTCCTTCTCTTCAGTAGACTAGACATCCCCAATTCCTGCAACTGTTCTTCATATGTTTTAACCTCCAGTCCCCTGATCATCTTTGTTGCTCTTCTCTCCACATTTCCTAAAGTTTCAACTCTATTCAGTCAGGAAGGGTTTCACTATGGATCACACTGGATTTCAAATAATTACACCATGGTAATCACATCAACTTAACTGATCTGGAGATCATGTAACTTCCTTTCGGCCGAATTAGTCACACTGCTGTTATTATTATCTGCTGTTTAGCCACGACCTACGATACAGGAATTGGCAAGGGGGGGGGGGACATGATAGCCGTCTTCCAATATCTCAGGGGCTGCCCCAAAGAAGAGGGAGTCAAGCTATTTTCCAAAGCGCCTGAGGGCAGGACAAGAAGCAGTGGATGGAAACTCATCAAGGAGAGAAGAAACCTAGAACTAAGGAGAAACTTCTTGACATTGAGAACAATTAACCAATGGAACAACCTGCCTCCAGAAGCAGTGAATGCTCCAACACTGGAAGTTTTTAAGAAGAGACTGGACAGCCATTTGTCCGAAATGGTCTAGGGTTTCCTGCCTGAGCAGGGGGTTGGACTAGATGACCTCCAAGGTCCCTTCCAACTTTATTATTATTATTATTATCATCATCATCATCATCCAGCATTTTATATTTTATATATACTACTTTCCAACTAAATAGCTCTCTCGCTTTGCAATTGAAAGTGCATTTATCCTCAGCCTTTGTCAATCAGAAACCAGAAGATCTGAACTATTTATTTCTTGGCAGCAATCAAAATAGATCTAATAACATTGATCGGCCTGTGTTCAAAATGTTCAAAGCATCCCATAGCTGCCTCATAAGGCAGGAGAGAAATGTTCTCCAGATGTTATTGGGTGGCAATTTCTGCTCATCCTTACCATAGCTAAGGCTGGTAGGAATTCGAACATCTGGGAAGACAGCACTTTCAGGATGATTCCTTATTTGTTTTGATAGGAAGGGAGAAAAGCTACGAGGACATGGTTTGCCTTAGGTCAGGGTTAGGCAACCTTGGCTCTTTTGTGACTGGTGGACTTCCACTCCCAGAATTCCTGAGCCGGCCATGCTGAGGGGAAAGGGAGAGGTTTCCAAGCTGAGCCAGGCTGGCTCAGGAATTCTGGGAGTTGAAGTCCACCAGTCATCAAAGAGCCAAGGTTGCCTACCCCTGCCTTAGGCCATCTAATCGGTTGAAGGCAAATAGGATGTAGGAACTTTCCAAATATGGTAAGAAACGAAGCACCTCTCCTATTAAAGCAAGAATATAAATATATTCCTTTATAACTTTTTGAAATAAAGCGGAATAGTAGAGTGGGCCGGTGACTGAATGCCAAATCTTGAACTTAACTACGAGCTCTCAATAACATCTTGGTCAATAAAGACAGATACTCATGGCACTGGAAGTAGACATCCTGGCTCAAGAAAAAAATTCTTCTCTGGCGTTCAATTACGTCTTTCATTGCAGCCCAGCCACAGGTCTCCATTAATAAAAGAAAGCTTTGTTTCAACATAAGTCAAGTACCGGATAAAGGTACATCTCTTCTGAGGATTAAAAACAAGCTGCCCTTAAAAAGAAAAATCAGGATAGAAACTAGCAAGGCCACAATACAGTAGACCATAGGGTAACACTAATGCAGTGCTGGAAATTAATGAGGACAATGTGTGGCTGGCTTTTAAAATAGTCTCTTGGAAATTATAGCTTACTTTAAAACAGCTGCTTGGAAACAGAAGGGCAGTTGCGTGATAATTATTCTTTCCGAACTCTACAATTGCACAGCCGGGCAAGGATGATTATTCCAGATTAAACAGATTGGGGTTTGATGGAGTGAATCCATGAAGGATGCGGGATAAGTCAGGCTCACCCATTCGGTCTTTTAAGAGGGGAATCCCATTTTTGTAAAAAAAAAAAAAAAAAAAAAAAACCAAAGCAAGCCCCATTTTCCCTCCACATTTCCATCGCTGGCCAGGAGACCAAAGCAGCTCCAGAATAAACTTGCTTTAGGGAACAACATTCCAGGCAATCTTGAGTTTTTAAGGCTTCACGTTTTGCTGGGAATTTCCCCAAATGAATGAATGAATGAAGTTGGGGATGGGAAGTGAGGGGATGGGAAGTGAGGAAGAGAAAGCAACCCGCCCCCCCCCCTGCCGCCATCCCATCATTTCTTACAACCCCCTTGCCCCCACCATCCCAGGAAAAGAGGCTGAGAAGGGAGGGAGGGAGGCCCACCTCAGCCAGAGGCATGGATGAAATAGCATGTTTTTAAAGAGGAAGGAAGGGGGAAAGAAAGAAAGAAGGAAGGAAGGAAGGAAGGAAGGAAGGAAGGAAGGAAGGAAGGAAAGAAAGAAGGAAAGAAAGGACCTCAGCCAGAGAAATGGAGGAAATAGGACGTTTTAAAAAGGAAGGGGGGAAGAGAGAGAGAGATGGAGGGAGTGAGTGAGGAAGGAAGGAAAGAAAAGGGAAAGGAAGAAAAGGAAAGAGAGAGAGAGAAAGAAAGAAAGAGGAAGGAAAGAAGACCTCAGGCAGAGAAATGGAGGAAACAGGACGTTTTAAAAAGGAAGGGAGGAGGAAAGAGAGATGGAGGAAGGGAGCGAGGGAAGGGAGGAAAGAAAAGGCCTCCTCCCCCCTTCACCCCCCCCCCCAGAGCCAGCCAGTTCTCCCCCGAAGCCCCCCGGGGCCCCTGAGGTCGGAGGTACCTGCGGGACGGCTCTGGACGGGACGAGGCGAGGCTGGAGCCGGGGAGAGAGCCGGGCAGGCGCCAGAGGCGAAGTGGGGCCGCCCCGCAGCGCCGCCCCCTTTAAAGAGGCGCCTTCCTCGGGGAGGGGGAAGGGAGGAGGGGGACGGGCAGCCTCCCTCCCCGCCTGGCCCCCTTCAGGGACGGAGCCGCCGGGCTGGGCCTCGGAGCGGCCGGGCGGGAAAGGAGGGAGGGCGCCTCCTCCTCCTCCCCTTCCGCCGGAGGATGCGGAGCGCCCCTGCCGGACGCCTCTGCCCGCTTGGCCCGGGGAGGGAGGGAGGTGAAAAACGAAGGAAGGAGGGAGGCAGGAAGGAGTGAAAAGGAGAGAAAGGAAGGAGTGAAAAGGGAGGGAGAGAAAAGGAAGGAAAAGGAGAGGAAGGAAAGAAGGGAGGGAGGAGGGAGAGAAAAGGAAGGAGGAAAAAGAAAGGAGAGAAAGGGAGGGTGGGAGGGAGGAGAGAAAAGGGAGGGAGGAAAAGGGGAGAAAGGGAGGGAGGAGAGGAGGGAGAGAAAAGGGAGGAAGAGGGAAGAGGAGGGAGGGAAGTGAAAAACAAAGGAGGGAGGAAGGAGAGAAAAGGGAGGGAGAGAAAAGGAGAGAAAGGAAGGAGGGAGGGAGGCAGGAAGAAAAAGGAAAGGAGAGGAAGGAAGGGAGAGGAGAAAAAAGAAAGGAGAGAAAGGGAGGGTGGGAGGGAGGAGAGAAAAGAGAAAAGGGAGGAAGGAAAAGGAGAGAAAGGGAGGGAGGGAGGAGAGGAGGGAGAGAAAAGGAAGGAAGGAGAAAAGGGAGGAAGGAGGGAAGAAAAGGAGAGAAAGGGAGGGAGGAAAAGAGAGGGAGGAGACAAGGGAGAGAAAAGGAAGAAGAGGGAGGGAGGAGAGAAAAGGGAGGAAAGGAGGAAGGAAGGGTCTCGATGAGTGAGGGGAGAAAAGGGCAGAAGCCTGGCAGGCCAAGGTGTGTATGTGTGTGTGGGGGGGGGGTTCTGTCTGGGCTTTCTGCCTTTCCACCCCATCCCCTGCCCCCCCCCCCTTGAGCAGGGTATTAATCTACCCAAAACTCAAGCCAACTAGCAGCTACAGAGTCAGACTGGAACAAGATTGCATCCGGTAGATCAGTGGTTCTCAACCTGTGGGTCGGGACCCCATTTGGGGTCGAACGACCATTTCACGGGGGTCGCCAAACAAGGCTGTCCGCCATTTTTTCCCCTTTTCTTTGGCCACGCCCCTGGCACCCGGTGATGTATAAGTGGTTGGGGGTCACCACAACATGGGGAACTGTATTATGGGGTCGTGGCATTAGAAAGGTTGAGAACCACTGCGGTAGATGCAAACTCTCCAGGGCGTGGAGTCATGGCATGAGTTTGTGGTGTTCCCTCTTATTTTCTCTCCCTTAAAATTCTGAGCCCGGTTGCTATCAGAAAATCGGAGAGCTGGAAGGGGCAGTTAGGCCAAAAGATTTGAGCTCCTGCTCGGGGCAAAAACCCAAGTCACAGCATTGGGAATAGAGGACTGACTGATTGATCGATTGGTTATTCGCTACTGCATGAAAGATGCTTTTGCAGAACGTTCAGCAGCGAATTCGTTGGGAGACTCGTGGCGAGCTGGGGAATTCTGGGAACTGACGCCCACCACTTTTAAAATTGCCGATGTCGGAATAACGACAGAAAAATACGACAAGGGAACAATCGACCTGCTGCTACATATCCTGACTGCAGCTAGGCTTGCTTTTGCGCAAAAATGGAAGAGCAAGGAAATTCCCACAGAGGAAGAATTAATGCATAAAATATTAGCATGTGCGGAAATGGACAGGCTTACAAGGATATTAAAAGGCAAATGTGGATCAGTTTATTATGAAACCTGGGATAAATTTTACCGCTGGAGGAACTTGAAGAGGACGGTCGGGATTAAAGATGAAGGTTAAGATAGAAATGTATGTTATTTTAGAATAAGTATTGGATATAAAACTTAGATGTATATGTAGAGATGAAGAATTGATTGTAAAAAGTGGAATAAGCTGATTAGAATGTATATACTGGAATGTCACGTTAAATCCAATGTTTGTTTGTTTTTAACTCTATTATAAATAAAATTTGAAAAAAAAAATCGCCAATGTCAGACCCCTTCTTATCCAAGAGGGACTCCTTCGGTTTATCCATAGCAGTGGTTCTCAACCTTTTTAATGCTGCGACCCCCAACCGGTCATAAGTCGAGGACTACTCAACCGGTTGTAAGTCGAGGACTACTCCACTGGTGCAGCACCGTTTGCAGAATGGGACTTTTGGCGGGCTCAGCAGGGCAGAGACAGCCTGGACAATTCCTATTGGCTTTTGAAAGCCAATAGAATTAGACTCTATTCAAGAGAGTAGCACAGCTAAGGAAAAAGGGGGAAAAATGGCGGACTGCGTTGTTTGGCGACCCCCGTGAAATGGTCGTTCGACCCCAAATGGGGTCCCGACCCACAGGTTGAGAACCACTGATCCATAGGCTTCTGGACAGCACGTAAATAACGCTATCCTTCCTCCCTGTAGAACAGTGCAGGGCACTTTTAATTAGAATTTCAGAAGGGAACTTACCGATTTAAAATCACCGTCTTGAGTGTGCATCCACTGAACACAATGCACACATGCAACCGTTGACTCTCAATAAACACTGAAGTCACTGCAAAAACCACACGTGGCTCAGGAAATGCTACATGTGGAGATAGCAGATGTTATTTTGGAGTGAAGCTGTTAGCAAAGAAAGCCGGTATTCCCCCCCACCCTGAGAAAATAACAAGAGAAATACAAAATCCAGACTTTGAGAAGTTTATTAGTGGTTCTATGTATCGAGACAGATTTTAAAAAAAGTGCATAGAACAAGCCCTTTATTTCACAGCAGATTTTGTACTAAAGGATTATTACATGGCACAGATCTTTGTGTTAAAATTCAGACAATTGAAACCACGAAAACCCATCACAGTGTTATCAATCTTTTTGCCTAGGAGAATTCTTCTAAACTAAGGCATAAAGAGCTGATGCAAGTTTATGTGTGCACGTGAAATGTCAATTCTGACCCCTAAACTTTATAAACGCTGTAGAAATTCACTAAGTATAAAAACTATCTTTAGGATCTTCCAGGAGGTGTTTTTTTTTTTTTTTTAAGTTTAATTGGTGTCAGTGGCTGGGGTTTTATAAAAGCTGCAATGCCAGAAAAAGAATTTCTAAACCTTTTCTGCACAGTATTTTCACAATTAAAATCCCTTCCGTTTTTTCCCCCCTGAAGAGCTGGCTGGCAAGAATGGTTCCTAAATGCTGCTAATCCTACCATCATCCCATAAACCAGCTTTTTAAAATCTTGAAAATAGTCATCGTACTCTTCCACGTTATGTCTAGCTTGCACATTTAAAGTAGAAAAAAATAAGAGGTATCAATAGACTGATGCATGTGCTGTACATTTACCTTGTCCTGTAGTAAACCTTTAATGCAAAACCGATGATTTTGGTGCTCTGTTTCATGGTCCTGTTTCATAAAATGGCACCAAGGATTCCTACTAAGAGATTTTGGTTTGAATTACTCTCTGCTTTAAAAGGAGACTGCACTAATTGGCCTATAGTTGCTAAGGAACAAGCTGTATAATATTAATGCATATATCTTGCTTCTTCAGTTTCTCTCTGTCCAAAAGTTTATTATCAGCAGTCCTGCAAATTATTCTCGAGAATGAAATAAAACTAGGCTATTGCCATTCAGCTCCAAGACTCATAACTGCTTCATATTAATTTAAAGCTGTTCTGCCCCTTAAAAAGGGGCATTTCATAACGTTGGTAAAGATGAACAAACTTAAAAAGTTTTTTTTTTTTCATTTAAAAAAAATATAGAAAGGTTCTCAAACGCTATTTTAAGAGGAATCGTAAAATCCCCCCAAATACAGCATTACAATTCTTAGAACAATTCCCAGAATTCTTTAAATGTTACTCCACGGCAAAAGAATGGATCTCCGAAACCCAAAAAGGGGCATTTTATGAACAAATGTTGGGACAGACCAATTTGTGGCCACAGTTGATGTTAACACAAAGGGTAGATTCCTTGCTTGAAATGAATTGACCAAGTTATCAATGGAAGGATCTGTTACCAAGCTTCCTGAGACGTGTAAAAACGGAAGAAATGTTTGAAGCCTATGTCCTTAATCCTTGTATTAACCAGGTAGCAGATTAATGAACTAGCTTTAGTTACAGGATTGGTTCAAATGTATTTTCCATCCTTCAAATCCAGTAATTGGATTCATGGGAGTTCAAAAGTAACTCCGATAGCAAATTCTACCTGCCTGTAATTTATATCTCAACAGGGGGGACATGATAGCAGTATTTCAATATCTCAGGGGCTGCCCCAAAGAAGAGGGAGTCAAGATCTTCTCCAAAGCGCCTGAAGGCAGGACAAGAAGCAACGGATGGAAACTCATCAAGGAGAGAAGCAACTTGGAACTAAGGAGAAACTTCCTGACAGAACAATTAACCAGTGGAACAACCTGCCTCCAGATGCTGTGGATGCTCCAACACTGGAAGTTTTAAAGAAAAGACTGGACAGCCATTTGTCTGAAATGGTCTAGGGTTTCCTCCCTGAGCAGGGGGATGGACTAGATGACCTCCAAGAGCCCTTCCAACTTTATTATTATTACTATTATTAAGAACTCACTACCTTTAGGTAGTTTCCCTACAATATTTTTGAGAGGGGGATGGAATGAAATGGAAAAGTGATGTTCAACCACCTCATTATATTTGTTAAGACTGGTCTCATAGCTCTCCTCTAAGAATTAACGGTAACACACAGAGGTCTGTTTGCTACACAGCTACACCTTGGTGGGATAGGTTAAGTCCAAAGTCACCAGTGAATTTCTGGGGCTAGAGATGAATGCGAAGCCATGACGTCCAAGTCCACCCTCCTACATTATTTGGATCCAGCAAAAGAGATTGAAATGTTAAGGCTTCTCTAACGACTATATGGAGGACTCTTTTTTTAAAAAAAAATAAAAATAAAGGCCCAATAAATAAAAAGCCCTTGTTAAAATGAATTTGGCCAGGTTGGAGAAAGCTCTTGTGCGTTTTTGAAAACGGTCAAGGAAAAACAGGCAGAATCCCTCCTGGAATTTAAAGATGCAATGTTATGCATGCTTTACTCAGCGGTTACTATCAGCAGACTAAAGCTCGGTGTTTGGCGGCAGGAATGTTCTGAAGCTGCTTAAAATGCAGAACATTCGCCCAACTTTAGACACTGGAACTGCATTCACACAAAAGGTCAAACCCCCCCTTGCATTGTCCTTGATAGTAATTCAAGGATTAAAAAAAAAAAAATACAGCAGGAAGGCAAAATTTCATTTTTAATGCGTGCCGTTGTGCCCAAAGGGGGGGGGGAATGACAATAAAGGTTATCTATCTATCTGACTTAATGTGCAAGAATGTAAAATGTTCACAAGGCTTCAGCTTCCATCGCTGTTGGACATCGAAAGGCCAGTTTGAAGAAGGCAAATGACAGCGTCGGCCGTCAAGCCATTGTCCACCTCACGTGTTCTGAAGGAACAGAATTATAGTTTGAACCAAGTTTAAGGCTACAAATAGGGGCACTGTCATTTTGAACTTCTCTGGAAAGAGGGGATTTTGTTAACTGGCTGGCATCCCGGTTAGCGTGAATAACCAAACTTGAAACATTTTAAAAATGGCTCAGCACCCAAAAACATGGATCTGTAGGTGATTCTGTAGAGCCAGACTGTTATTGATGCCCTTCGGTTGCTTCATGGTGCAGTAGATAACTTTAATTGTTGGAACTTCTATTTCAGGTGCCTGGCTGAGGAATTCTGGGAGTTGAAGTCCAAAAGTCATCAAAGGGCCAAGTTGGAAGACCCCTATTCTATTTGTAGAAGATATTTGCAAAAAAAAAAACCAACAAAAAAACCCCAACCCTATACACTCCCTTCCCAAAATCACAAATATGCTCACAAGGAGGGGTTAAATGTTTGTTCCCTGTATTTTGGAGAGACCCTATGTTGCTGAGATGATCGGTTACACACAGAACATTTAATTTTAAAAATGGCAATCGCTCACGCGTTTTTTTTTTAAAACAGGTGAACCGCTGGCAATTGGCACTGTTTTCAGCACGAAATTTCTCTGCAAAGCTCGGTGTACACTAATCCACAGATTTGGAAAATACTGGACCAAAATGTCACCTGCACAAGTTAAGTCTTAGCCTAGGCACATAGAATAAATTCAATGTTTGATTTTAAAAACTGGTCTTAAAAAGGTTGACACAGTAGCTGCTTAACTCTGTAATTTACCGTACTGCGTGAGTGAGATGTCCTTTTTACAACTGGAAGACATGAAGTTATCTTTGTGGATTTCAACGACCTGTAGAGTTCAGCTGCCAGAATTCCTCAGCCAGGAATTCTGAGAGCTGAAGTTCCTAAGTCTTAAAAGTTGCCAATCCCTGGTTGGGATTGTTTTCAGGAAAAGAAAAGGGATAACATCGACACGTTCAGCTTCGTAGAAGCTTAACGTGCCAATTTTGCTTCTCCTTTCTAACAGGCAGACTACTCAAAATTTGCAGTTTTGGCACCCCGTTCGTGGAGTGCCAACTCACGGACTGTGCTGTGGCCTCGTGCTGCCAAGGGTTTGGTTGTGTCGATGTTCCATCAGCAATTGAATAACACGTAAAACATGTTAATCTAATGCAATCCAGAACTTCGTTTTGACCGCAGGAGCTTTTAAACAGTTGCAGTGAAGGAGACCGTCCTACTGATGTGTTGATTGGCATGTATTATGCTGTGATTCTTTTTTTTTTAACTTGAGGTTTGTTCCAATCCAAGTCCACGGGGAAAATCATTGTGTAAGGGTGGTACTAGTTTTAAATGTAAATTTTTATTTGTTATCTTCCTTCCTTCCTTCCTTCTCTCTCTCTCGCTCTTCTCCCTCTCCCTATAAAATGGCTCCTAGATAAAACTATAACTAGTTTACGTCAGCTTTCATACTCTGATGTCATCTACATTGCTGACTCTGCCAGCTAGGAATATGACACAATAGTCAGCATACGCGAAAGGCACTAATTGGAGAAGGCTGTGGAATATGTGAACTTTTTGAAAATAGACACGGTGGAAACGTTTGCGGGAATTTTCCCAGAAAATGGGTGTACAAAGATCGCAGAGGAGTGTACTGTAATTTTTAATCTCTAAATAGATAGGAAAAAAGAAAACCCACTAGTCTGAACAGGTTCAACCGATTATCAATAGAGAGATTTAACTTTTTTTTCTTTAAATATTGCAGGGGACAGAAGCGCAACACTCATCGCTAAAACACTGACGCTTCCCCACCACGTGAAGTTAATCCGTTTAAATGTCATTTAAGAAATAGAAAAAGAAAATGGATATTGTATATGTACAGAACAGAACCCTACTGTACAAGGATAAGGAATGCTGTGATCACGTTCTTTCTTTTGGTCATTGAAGATTAAACTTGTTAAGCTTTTTCAGGAAATCTCAGTCGACGGCTGGAGCCGGTGGATCTTGTCCCTGTGTGTGAAGAACGGAATTAGAAGTCTCTGGATTTTGCAAAAGAGGAGATGTTGTCCACTTAAAAAGATCCTCATACATCTTTACAAATTTTTTAATTAGATTAGAACTCAGAGTCTTAAATGTGTGGTTTAAGAATAGGTCTATTCATAGAGATGGGTGGCACAGGGAGGAATACACATCTAAAAGGAGAGAAGCACTGAAAGAAAGTTGAAAGGGGGCAATGAGGGATTCTAAATGTAAAACAAGCCATTTTGGGGTACTGCAGAGAGATGAGCTTTGTAATAAACGTACAAGGAAGAGCCAGACAGAAGAAGGAAGAGAAAAATTGAGACAAGAAAACAATCACTGTATGAAGAAAATAAGATATGATTTCTCTCACAGTGAATAACTAGAACAGGGCTGTTCAATCATGGCAACTTTAAGATCTGTGGACATCAACCCACAGAATTTCCCAGCCAATCAGGCTGGCTGGGGAATTCTGGAAGTTGAAATTACAAGAATTAAATTTGCCGAGGTTGAACTAGGTCAGGGGTAGGCCACCTTGGCTCTTTTATGACTGGTGGACTTCAATTCCCAGAATTCCTGAGCCAGCCTGGCTCAGCTTGGAAACCTCTCCCTTTCCCCTCAGCGTGGCTGGCTCAGGAATTCTGGGAGTTGAAGTCCATGAGTCATGAGGGGGCCATAGTTCCCCCATGCTGGCTCAGGAATTCTGGGAGTTGAAGTCCATCAGGCATAAAAGAGCCAAGGTCGCCTACCCCTGGACTAGGGGTCTTCAAACTTGGTCCTTTTATGACTTGTGGACTTCAACTTACAGAATTCCTGAGCCAGCATGGGGGAACTGTGACCCCTTCATGACTTGTGGACTTCAACTCCCAGAATTCCTGAGCCAGCATGGGGGAACTATGGTCCCTTCATGAGTTGTCGACTTCAACTCCCAGAATTCCTGAGCCAGCTTGGCTCAGTTTGGAAACCTCTCCCTTTCCCCTCAGCATGGCTGGCTCAGGAATTCTGGGAGTTGAAGTCCACCAGTCACAAAAGAGCCAAGGTTGCCTACCCCTGAACTAGAAAGTCAACAAAACAAAACAGGATGTAGAGGCTACCTGGAACAAAAGGAAAAGAATCTTATTAGTGCCAAAGAAGTAGGTGGAGTTACACTAATGGGAAGTATGAAAGAAGATGCACGCAGAATGATTGCTGCCCAAAGGGAGACGAGACAGATTGTATGGGGTGTGCAGACGGAGAAAAAGCAGCGAAGAACACAGTCAAAGAAAACAAGGAAACTGTTAAAAGCTAAAAGAGGAAGGGAAAATGAAGAGCTGTTTAGATTGGAGGGAGGGGGTAAATCTGAGAAACCAAAGTGGCTAGCAAGGAGCTTTCAAGAGAACGAAAGCAATGCCATTTAGAATCCTAGCCTTATCTGTTAACCAGGTTATCGCCAATAAAGGCTCAAAGGAGTATTCAAACAGCCCTCTCTGTTTTCTTGCAAGCCCTGGGTGTGAATCCTCATTATTCTCCACAAGCCCCGGGGACAAAAATTGTCTAATGTGGTCTAACTCGAATGATTTTACCAAACAGCAATGCAATATTGCGACATCCTAGAAAAATAGTCCTACTGAAACAGTGCCGCACAAAGCTAACACAGGACGAGCGGATTATAGTTTTCGCCTTGTATTATACTAGACATGTCAAACACAAGGCCCGGGGACCGGATGCGGCCCGCGAAGTGGTTTCATGTGGCCCGCGAAGCCATCCTGGAAACAGTGAGGGAATGGCCCCCGCTGCCTTGGCCCTGGCCCAGGCCAGCCGGGAGCCAAGGTACAATTTTGTGGTGGCCATCTATGCTGAAACGCATTCAGTCTTAGCTCCACAAGGCCGTCCGGAAACAGCGAGGAACCAGCCCGTGCCGTGTCGCCCCCGCTCCCTGGGTGCGTGCTGGGGAGGGGTCACCCTTTGTGAGGAATGAAGAAATGGACCATGCCTTGGCGCTTGCTCCGGTCCCACCCCCCTTCACCAGAGACCCTCAGATCTGTCCCACTCCTGCCCAGGCCCCCACAGGCCCCCTTGACGTGAACGATGTAGAACTGGCCATGCCCACCCAATACGCCACACCCACTCCATCCATCCCCACCCAGAAGGCTGCACCCACTCTGGCCACACACCCCCGCCTCCCCGAGGGCAACCGCAATGCTGATGTGGCCCTCAGTGAAATTGAGTTTGACACCCCTGTATTATACATTTCCTTCCCGCTCTGCGTTACCCAGCCGAAGAAAATAAATGCCTCGCGGGAACAGACTCACGCTATGCGGGCGAGAGGGCTTTTCAGCAGTAATCGATCTCCTTAAGCTGGTGGGTCTCATCAAGAACAAAACCAGTGCTAGAACCAGCCAGCCCACCATCATCATGGTGACACCAAAGTCATTGTCAGCAGAGGGATTCGGTCCCGGCACTAGAAAAAAACACGAGCACACGAAAGAAAGAGAAGGCAGAATTAACTTCGGACACGTCAACAAATTTGTCAGCAAGGAAACAGGATCCTGACGTAGCTCTGACTTATTCTTCACGACGAAAGGAACAGATAGGACCCCAACCCATCCCTTGAGGATTCTGCTGCCAGGATTCATAGCACATAGGAAGCTGGTTGGGAGGAACACAGTAACTGAATCTTAGTCACAATCCAAACTCAGACTGAGATGATGAATCGTTCTTTGGGCGTCTTTTCCACTTCACCTTGGCTGACTTTCAACTGAGCATCTATAAATCTCAAAGGACCTACAATCCCATCTAGCAAACTCTGGCTTCCATACCTTCCTTCTGCTAGCTCCATCTTCCCCAACTGTAAATCAGTGGTTCTCAACTTTTTTAATGCCGTGACCCCCCCCCCAACCGGTCGTAAGCCGAGGACTACTCAACCGGTCGTAAGTCGAGGACTACTCAACTGGTGCAGCCCCGTTTGCGGAATGGGACTTTTGGCGGGCTCAGCAGGGCAGAGACAGCCTGGACAATTCCTATGGGCTTTTGAAAGCCAATAGAATTAGACTCTATTCAAGAGAGTCTATTCTATTGGCTTTCAAAAGCCCATAGAATAAAAGGGAGTAGCACAGCTAAGGAAAAGGGGGGAAAAATGGCGGACTGCGTTGTTTGGCGACCCCCGTGAAATGGTCGCTCGACCCCAAATGGAGTCCCGACCCACAGGTGGAGAACCGCTGCTGTAAATTATAGTTGCAATCCCAACGAGGTGCTGGAAGTGATGAGGTTGACTTGGGCAAAGCTGAGCTAGCTTGTCAATAGGACATCTTATCTGAATGCATAAACAACACGGCTTTTCCTTAATTCCAGCATCACGCCCGACCGTTCATCATGGCATTCCAAATTAGCAGCCACAGATTGTATTTTTGGCTGGTGGATGCATGTCCAAATAAAAGAAAGGTTACCATTATTTTTTTATTATTATTTATCTTACCGTAAGGATCCTAAACGGGGCTTAAAAGCAAGGCAACTTATTTTTAAATCTTCATCACAACTTTCCCCCCCACCGATCAACCAAATTTAATCTATTAAATTGATTAAAATTGCAACTATGCTACCTTTCTTAAAAAAAAAAAAACAACCTTTAATTTAGTTAGATTGATGGTATTTAAAAAATTACTGCTGGAAGAGATTGCCATATGTAGCACTAAAATAAATACTAGTTTATAATTGAAGTGAGGATTTATCAAAAGAGACTGGATAAAGCAATGTTCTCTTCCGTAGTCCACAAATGTGCTGATGCTGCTATATTATTAAACAAAATATAAGCCATCATACAAAAGCGTATGATAAGACTGCTTTGTCAATTATTGGTCACAGAAATGGGATACTGAAAACTACCTCCTTAGAAATCGCCAAGACTTCTGGCTAAGCAATGCAGCCCCCCCCCCAAAAATGAATACCAGAAATGAAATATACACAGAAAACAAAACTGGGTGCCAAAAGTTTAAGCATCCAAGGCTTCTTTCTGAATGCAAAAAGTCAACAGCAGACCTCAAAGCTATTTGCATGTTCCAAGCCAGGCACATCCTGAATGACAGCTCTCTTTAATGAAAAGACCATTTGTCAAACGTATGAATGAGGCTTTCAGCTTTACCGAGCAAAGGTATTAGGTTGTGGTATTGCCATGAAAGAAAGAAAGAAAGAAAGAAAGAAAGAAAGAAAGAAAGAAACAAAGAAAGAAAGAAAGAAAGAAAGAAGGAGGGAGAGGGAGGGAGGGAGGGAGGGAGGGAGGGAGGGAGGGAGGGAGGGAGGGAAGGAAAAGGTATTACTTTGTGGCATGTGGCATGAAAGAAAGAAAGAGAGAAAGAAAAAGAAAGGGTATTACTTTGTGGCATGCGTCATGAAATAAATAAATAAATGAATGAAAGAAAGAAATTAGTTTGTAGCATGCATCATAAAAAAGAAAGAAAAAAGGAAAGAAAGAAAATAGAAAGAAAGCAAAGATATTAGTTTGTAGCATGCATCATAAGGAAGGAAGGAAGGAAGGAAGGAAGGAAGGAAGGAAGGAAGGAAAGAAAGAAAAAGAAAGATAGCAGGAAAGAACAGTATTTGAATAGCAGCTCTTAAATATGCTAAACATCTCATGCAGAAATAGGAATGCATGTATATGTGTCAACAAAATAAAGAATAATTATCATTACTGTTCACATGTCTAGAGTACATTGTTCTGATTTCTGATGTGTCGGACCTTACAGGAGGAGAGTGCATTAGTTTATGGAACTAAAAAAAAAAAAAAAAAAAAATCAGGTATCTGGGCGTAGCTTTCCCGACTATCAAGTTTTATTTAAAGGCCTAAATTTTGTATCACATACATCTAATACATCTGTTTTCTGTATCAGTCCCACTCTGGAATGTCTCCCCGCATTCTTTACACCTCTTGGTATGATAAGAGTTTCCAATTTTTTTTGGGGGGGGGGGAAATAGGTTGGAATATGAACAATTCAGGAGTTGCCACTCCACTATTACTTCTAGCACATGGTATGCTTTTCTCACAATTGCTATTGGGACTGTCTGGAAGCAAAAATTCATTACACAGAGAGAGAGAGGGGGGGGGGAGAGAGAGAGAGAGAGCGAACTATAGATGCATAGATAGAGAGACAGACAGAGATAGAGGCATAGACAGAGAGAGAGAGAGGCATAGATAGAGATAGAGGCAGAGAGAGAGAGAGAGAGAAAGATAGAGGCATAGATAGACACAGATAGAGATAGACAGAGATAGAGAGAGAGAGAGAGAGAGGCATAGATATAGATAGAGGCATAGAGAGAGAGAGAGGGAGAGGGAGAGAGAGAGGGAGAGAAAAATATAAAGGCATAGATAGACAGAGATAGAGAGACAGAGAGAAAGAGAGAGGCATAGATAGATAGAGATAGAGGCATAGATAGAGGCAGAGAGAGAGAGCGCGAAAGAGATATAGACAGATAGAGGCATAGATAGACAGAGAGAGAGACAGAGACAGACAGAGATAGAGGCATAGACAGAGAGAGAGAGACAGAGAGAGAGGCATAGATAGAGATAGAGGCAGAGAGAGAGAGAGAGAGAGAGAGAGAAAGAAAGATAGAGATAGAGGCATAGATAGACAGAGAGAGAGAGAGAGAGAGAGAGAGGCATAGATAGAGATAGAGGCAGAGAGAGAGAGAGAGAGAGAGAAAGAAAGATAGAGATAGAGGCATAGATAGACAGAGAGAGACAGAGATAGAGGCATAGATAGACAGACAGAGATAGAGATAGACAGAGATAGAGGCATAGATAGACAGACAGAGATAGAGATAGACAGAGATAGAGGCATAGATAGACAGAGAGAGAGAGAGAGAGGCATAGACAGACAGAGAGAGATAGAGATAGACAGAGGCGTAGACAGAGAGAGGGGGGGAGGGAGGCAGAGAGAGAAAGAGACACACACACACAGAGATCTGAATGTGTTAACTTCTGTGGCAGGCTAAGATTTTCAGACCTGACTCATTTATTTGTAATAGCAGAAGAGACATCATACTGACTTCAGCTGGACCACAATTCACTTACTTCCTCCACAACTTTTCCATCATGAAAACATCCATCAGGAAGCAAAAGAATTACAGAAGGATGAGTCAGAGGCAAACAACTAACAGATGACCTGGGCCATCATTTGTTAATCTTACTTTATTATAACGTATTAGCACACTTAGCACCTTGTATAACCAAATTACCAAATTTTATGAAAATTTATTCTGGCAACCACTGTATAACATCTTATAATTGTGGCCACAATTAGCACAGTCTCCAATTCTATTACTACAATAATCATAAGTGATTATTCTGGTTATATTACCAGCCGGTAACGGTTGTGATGTCTTGGGACCAACCAGGAAACAAATCCAGTTTCAAAATCTTTGATTAAGATGCTGTTTTCATGCTAAAAACGTCAAGGTATTTCCCCCCCCCCCAGTTCAGATTAATCATAACTAATAAGAGATGCCTGTGTTAATCAGAACAAAGGCAAGACAGAAGGTGGTGTGTGCAGATTAAGTTATTTTGGCTTACACTGGCTAGTGCAGTGGTTCTCAACCTTTTTAATGCCGCGACCCCCCAACCGGTCGTAAGTCGAGGACTACTCAACTGGTGCAGCACCATTTGCAGAATGGGACTTTTGGTGGGCTCAGCAGGGCAGAGACAGCCTGGACAATTCCTATTGGCTTTTGAAAGCCAATAGAATTAGACTCTATTCAAGAGAGTCTATTCTATTGGCTTTCAAAAGCCAATGGAATAAAAGAGAGTAGCACAACTAAGGAAACGGGGAAAAAAATGGTGGACTGCGTTGTTTGGCGACCCCCGTGAAATGGGGTCCCGACCCACAGGTTGAGAACCACTGGGCTAGTGTAATGTATTTGTTCTTCAATCATCATGTTTCACATTGTAACCGTCTATTCCTAGTAAATATTCTCGCCCTCCAATTACTTACGTTCCTGAAGACATTCTGTATCCGTGCAATAGGACTGAGATTGCCGTAACTGAAATGAAGACAAGGACACGAGTTTAATTAGATTTTACCAGGTCTGAAGCTTGCTGGACAATCTCCAAAGATTAAAATACCCTGGAGAATTAAATGTCGTTTATAAGAAATCCATCTCTGCCACCGGTCATAATCGCCTGCTCTGTGGCAAAATGTGGCTTGTGCATCTTATTCCCTACGTTCCTACGAACTGTAGGAATATCTACAGAAATGTAGATATTCATCAGAATTTCTCACTATTCACAGCAGAGCCAATAAAAAATTTCGGAGAAAATCTGACATTGGCCAATAAAGTTCAACGCTACCATAAATTGCTCTCTGTAACTATGCAAGTTTATTACTATATATAATTGGAAATTTTAGGAACACTAAATGATGCTATCATTATATGTGTTTCCTAAAACTCTTGACACTGATTCTGTTCTAGAGCAAAATAGGACCTATACACAGCATACTCATTTCTTGGGACCTGCCCCCCAAACCCTGGATTGCTTTACAGTACTCATAATAATAATAATCTTTACTGATTAGCCCGTGGGCCATTATATCAAGGTGCAGCGTTCCAAACACACGTTATACTAAAATGCAGTAAAAACAATTCAGAATGGAATGGGTTAAAATATAATTTAGAATGAAATAGAAATAAAATACAATTTAAAATGAAATTGGGATAAAATTCATTTTTAAAATGAAACTAGAATCAAATACGGCAATTTAAGATGTAGATAGATAAAATACGATCAAATTGAAGGCAGGACAAGAAGCAATGCATGGAAACTAATCAAGGAGAGAAGCAACCTAGAACTAAGGAGAAACTTCCTGGCAGTTAGAACAATTAACCTGTGGAACAACCTGCCTCCAGAAGCGCTGGAGGTTTTTAAGAAGAGACTGGACAGCCATTTGTCTGAAATGGTATTATATCCCTAGGAATGGAACCTGACTTTTTATTGCTTCTAATGAGTCCATAAACAGACTTCTACCTTACTGTATGTGTGTGTTTTTTGCTTTTAAACCAGTGGTTCTCAACCTGTGGGTCGGGACCCCATTTGGGGTCGAACGACCATTTCACAGGGGTCACCAAACAAAGCAGTCCGCCATTTTTCCCCCTTTTCCTTAGCTGTGCTACTCCCTTTTATTCTATTGGCTTTCAAAAGCCAATAGGAATTGTCCAGGCTGTCTCTGCCCTGCTGAGCCTGCCAAAAGTCCCAATCTGCAAACGGGGCTGCACCAGTTGAGTAGTCCTTGACTTATGACTGGTTGAGTAGTCCTCGACTTACGACCGGTTGGGCGTCGCGGCATTAAAAAGGTTGAGAACCACTGTTTTAAACCGAAGAGGGCAATATTAACATAAATTTAAGCTGATGGAAAGCCATATGGCTGCGTTAGCAAACTCTCTTAGAGAGCTGCTTTCATTTATTACACTCTTGATTCTTAATGCCATCATCATGACCGTCAGGCAGAATCCCAATTGTGTCTCACTTAACAACGGAATTAGCCAGCCGACATTAAATCAAGGCAAGACACGGCGACTATATATTAAGATCGGAGACGGTGGGCCCGTCTTTTGAAAGAGCAGCACTTGGAAAAGTCCTTAGTAAACCTCATGAAGGGACTTTTTTTTTTTAAATAGCATCTTAGTGTAAAAGATATCCTTTCCAGAGGAAAAACTTGGCGTATTTGGAATTCTACCGCTCAGAATCATTTATGTACTTGCGTTCTTATGTTTGGAGAATATCCAAGAATGTTGAAGTTTAGGATAGCAGAGATTGAAAACAGATTGTCCTGAAGGGTAAGAAATTTTTTGCTTTTTTCTGTCAAAGACTATGCAATCTCTTGCTTCAGGGTGGGGTTAGGGCGTCACAGATTGGAGCCGAGCATTTACTGGCGGGAATTCGGCTGCAGACAATGACTCTTTGCACCCAGAGAGAGAGAAATATCTGCCTCTAGCGAGGATTGAACTCGCGGCCTCCAGATTGTGAGGCGAGAGCGGCACCCCTAGGCCACCAAGCCAACTCCATCAAGGTAAGGAATATCACCTTGAAAAAAAAAAAAAAAATCGGTTGCAAAGTTGAAATAACAAACTGGTAAGCAGGATTTCAGCTCAGGGGCTCCCCCTGGTGGACTTGGGTCATCCTTGAGGCACATACAACTTACAACAATTCATTTAGTGACCGTTCAAAGTTACAACGGCACCAAAGTGACCTAGAACCGTTTTTCACACTTACAACTGTTTGCAGCATACCCCCCATGGTCACGTGATCAAAATTCAGACGCTTGGCCATTGACTCGCATTTGTGACGGTGGCAGTGTTCCCCCGGGGTTGTGTTGATCCCCTTTTGTGATCCTCTGACAAGCAAAGTCAAGGGGGACTGCAGTGATTCACATAACAACCGTGGCAAGGAAGGTCGTAAAATGAGGCAAAACTCACTTAACAAATGTCCCACTTAACAACGGAAATTTTGGGCTCCACTGTGGTCCTAACCTGAGGACTAGCTGCATGGTAATGTACAGTAACAGCTACCCAAGAGACTGCCAGCGTGAAGCCACTCGTGTGTAGGAATCTCAAATCTGGATCTAAGAATAGTTTGATACAATAACTTTAGGAAATGAACAAGGAACACATACTCGTTTTGTGCTGGGAAAAATAAAAATAACAGTGTGAGCTTCCCAGCAATTTCCATAGAACAATACAGAGTTTTTTATTAGATAGATAGATAGATAGATAGATAGATAGATAGATAGATAGATAGATAGATAGATAGATAGATAGATAGATAGATAGATATCTAAAATGGTTTTAAAGATACAAGTCTCAGGTATATATATTCATATTCAAAAATTAAAACACAGATCACTGAGACTAAAAATTTATTAAAAACTTAGTTTTCGTCAGCAGACGCTGTTAGCAGACGCTGATGAAAGCTAAGTTTTTAATAAATTTTTAGTCTCAGTGATCTGTGTTTTAGTTTTTGAATATATATACACACACACACACACACACACACACACACACACACACACGTGTGTGTGTAGGTCTTTGGTTATTCGGGTTTTCTCCTGCGTCAAATTGGAAGTGTCTTGGCGACGTTTCGACGAAGTCTCATTCGTCATCTTCAGGCTGGTATTTTCGGCTTCGTGCTTCTAGGAGCAAAACTCGTGCTCCTAGAAGCACGAAGCCGAAAACACCAGCCTGAAGATGACGAATGAGACTTCGTCGAAATGTCGCCAAGACACTTCCAATTTGACGCGGGAGAAAACCCAAATAACCAAAGACCTACATACAAACACCTGCGAAAACCTCAGAAAACATACATACACACACACACACACAGAGAGAGAGAGAGAGAGAGAGAGAGAGAGAGAGAGAGAGAGAGAGAGAGAGTTAGAGATATATAGTTAGAGATAGATAGAGATAGATAGATGGATAGATAGATATACAGATATAGATTTTATTAGTTTTTATAGGGTTAGGAATAAGATGGGGTCGGGATTAGGGTTAGGATTTGGGTTAGGGTTGAGGTTTATCCAAATAACATTTTCAATATTTAGCAAACAGCATAATGTCTGGGTACATGCATGTAACTAACAACAATAGATGTAGTTAATTATCATAAACAATATCTTAATTAATCACTCAACAGCCTTCATTTTGTTAATATATTCAAAATTACACATCATGTTCCTTTCTCTCTGCCTCGTTTTTCTAGCCATTGATGGAAATTATCCCATGTTCTAAAGTACATTGAGTCTTCTCTCTCTTTAATCTTTAAAGTCCATCTGTCCATTTTTCATTATATTGATGTCACTTGAGTAATTGTGGATTAAGGTAATGATAAAAAGTCTGCCTGTGGATGACAAGACAGGAGAATTGCTGGGGGAGGGAACAAATACCAATAAAGGAGAATATTAGTAGCTCAGGGTTGAAATGAGGGGTCCTTGGTGCTCTCTGAGCTTGCTTGTTTTCTTACAGACGTTTCATTACCCGACTAGGTAACATCATCAGTGCTTGTGGAAAATTAAATCTCAAGGATTCTTGGTGGCTGTCACAGCTCTTAGATACAACATATAACTCCTACAGTAATACCACATTCTATTGTGTGAACTTTTGCTTTGCTATCCCCAAAATACTAATATGATCAAAGATTACCAATTTTGTTTTTCATTATTTTGTGTGATTTATGAAAGCCTATTTCTATCTTCCAGTAATTTTTTTTTCAGCATGTGGAAAGAGGGCATAAATATTGAGAAGACCCTCCATAAAGCACCCCAAGACTGGACAAGAAGCAACGGATGGAAACTAAGCAAGGAGAGAAGCAACCTGGAACTAAGGAGAAACTTCCTGACAAGTGAGAACAAATAACCAGTGGAACTCCTTGCCTCCAGAAGTTGTGAATGCTCCAACACTGGAAGTTTTTAACAAGAGATTGGACAACATTTCTCTGAAATGGTATAGGGTTTCCTGCCTGAGCAGGGGGTTGGACTAGATGACCTCCAAGGTCCCTTCCAACTCTGTTATTCTGTAAAATACGCAAGTTATCCCAGAAGAAAAATACATTCCTCATTTCTGCATACACCAGCTACAGAGATTGCAGCCCCTGGATTTTCTTTAAATCATATCCAACCTGTTACGATACTAGAACTCCTGAAAATGATGGAAGATGTTTACAAACAATTGTCCCAGGTGTAGGAATGAGATAGTTATAGCAAGCAAAGGAGAAATCCCCTTAATCGCCGAAGCGTAACTACTACAGCTGACGTGAAAAGTCTCACTGTTTCATTTCAACTTTTCAAAAGTTTCATATAACGTTTCAGGAACTAGTTAAGACCATTGGAGCAGAACAGCTCAGCTGCAAAAGGCTGGAGGACTCAAATCTCCTCCCCTAAAGAAAAAAAAAATCTCTTCACACCCTAAACTTGTTTCCTACTTTGGGAGGTAGGAGTAGTTGCTTAGTAGTGCCCAGTGCACCCTGTTACCTTCCAGAAATGTCTCAACTGACATTTGCCTTCCTAATCTCGGCGTGTAAAAGGATGTCATACCCCGGGCTGCTTTTCTGGAGATCAAATGGAATGGTTTCTATAATGCAAACTCCTAGCTAAGCAGTGTATAGATATGAGGATTATTATTATTATTACTATGGATCATCGCACAGTCAGCCAGATGTTCAGACTGGATTTGGCATTTTATCTCCCTATCGAGTCCTTACCCAGGACCTGGGATAGGCAGATGTGGATGTTTGATGGTATTACAGATATCGTCACAGGATGGAAGCAGTTCCTAGTAAGGCTGCCTTTTGCAATTGACTAATGGCGAATTTGTCAATGCCGATGATGGTGTTCAAGTGGTGCTCCAGTTGTTTTGGGATTGCACCCAAGGAGCCTATGACTATTGGTACTGCCCTTGCTTGCCTTTGCCACAGTCTTTCTATTTCTATTTGTAGGTCTTTGTATTTTGTTATCTTCTCCAGTTCTTTCTCGTCTATTCTGCTGTCTCCAGGCACTGCCACATCCACTATCCAGACATTTTTGTCTTTCTTATCGACAACTGTTAAGTCTGGGGTGTTATGTTGCAGGTGCTTGTCTGTTTGAATTCTGAAGTCCCAGAGCAGTTTAATTTTTTCATTTTCTATGACTTTCTTTATTTTATGATCCCACCAGTTCTTGCTTACAGGCAAATGATATTTTTTGCAGATCTTCCAATGCACCATTGTTGCTACTTTGTCATGCCGCTGCTTGTAGTCAGTCTGTGCAATCTTCTTGCAGCAGCTTACCAGGTGGTCCACTGTTTCTTCAGCTTCTTTGCATAGGCGGCACTTACTGTCTGTTGCTGTCTTCTCAATTTTGACTTTGTGTGCATTTGTCCTTAAGACTTGGTCTTGTGCAGCCAGAATTAGTCTCTTTCTTCAATTTTCTTCTTCTTCATCATCATCATCATCATCATCATTATTATTATTATTATTATTATTATTATTATTATTATTATTATTATTATTATTATTTTCAGGATGGCCGTAATATAAGCCCCACCCCAAAAATAAGCCCCCGTTAAGATCGTCAGCCAGATGGACGTTCCCGAATATAAGCCCTAATTGGAAAATAAACTCTAGTGCAGTGTTTCTCAACCTTGACAATTTTAAGGCATGTGGACTTCAACTCCCAGAATTCTGGGAGTTGAAGTCCACATGCCTTAAAATTGTCAAGGTTGGGAAACACTGCTCTAGTGCATCTTTTGAAGCAAGAATTAATATAAGACCTGGTCTTATTTTCGGGAAAACACAGGTGTATATAGAACTAGAGCAGGTGGGTGTCTATTTATCCATCTATCCCTCCTTTCCTTCATCTGTGTGGGAAGGTGGGAGGGGTCTCCCGAACATATTGCCATTTGCATTTTACTGCGTGGTGTGGGAAACCCAAGCGGGGCCTGTCCTTAAAAACGTGTAGATTTGATCTGAAGACTCTTCAAAGCAGCCAGCTCCAAAGAACGAGAACATCGTCCCCCTGATTATCCTTACCAGATCGATCAACCTCCTCATGGCGTGCTCATGCGCGCAAATACACTCACAGGGGTCGAAGCCGCCTTCTGCCATGTTATGGATGGACCTGGAGCGTTAATGGACCCTGGAGAGAAACAAAAGTGGCTGTGTTTTTTTATTTATTTTTAATCGTTCGTGTATTTACATCCCGCCTGCGTTGTCTTCACAAATAACTCAAGGCCGCAAACATATCCAAAACACCTTTCTCTTATTTTTTTTCCCCCCATGACCACCACCTTGTGAGGTGGGATGGGCTGGGAGAGAATGACTGGCCCAAGGTCACCCAGCTGGCTTTCATGGCTAAGGCGAGACTAGAACTCACCGTCTCCAGGTGATTAGCCAAAGTCATTCAGCTGGTTTTCAGTCTTAAGGTGGGACTAGAACTCACTGTCTCCTGGTGATTAGTCCAAAGTTACACAGCTGATTTTTAGGCTTAAGGAGAGACTAGAACTCACCATCTCCTGGTGATTAGCCCAAAATTCCACAGCTGGTCTTCAGGCTTAAGGTGGGACTAGAAATCACCATCTCCTGGTGATTAGCCCAAAGTCACCCAGCTGGCTTTCATGCCTAAAGTGGGACAACTAACAGTCTCTAGTGCCTTAACCACCAGTCCAAACTGTCTGGCTGCCCCACTTGCACACGGTGCGTCTGGGTGGTGTAAAGCATTAAAGATCAGCAACAAAACCCACACCCCATGGCAGTGACAAAATACAATAATACAAGTCCTTGGATCGTCTCGGAATCAACCTGGGGTCCCCAAACCTACTGACAGAACCACGTCTTCAAGGATTTCATAAAAGGAAGGAGGGAGTCAACCTTATTTCCAAAGGAATGATGTTCCAAAGAATTAGGCTTAGCCACTGCAAAGCAGGCCGGGATACAAATAAATAAAATGCAAATAAAATCTGTATTTTATTCCTGTAATCTGTAGTTTGTCCATGGGGGTTTGCTAAGGAGTAGCCAGTGCCTGATTTTACGCCTGCAACGAAGGTTTCCCACAAGATATTAGAAAAAGTGCAGAATATATTATTATATGGAGAAGAAGGATAGATTATATTCAGAAGAAGTATGGGACTATAAAGTTTCATTGATTTTATGAGTAAATCTTATAGTAAATGTTTTATAAGAGATTTGTTTATGATGATATAATTTAAGGGGAGTTAAGGGCTAAGTATGATTTTCTTTCTTTCTTTCTTTCTTTCTTTCTTTCTTTCTTTCTTTCTTTCTTTCTTTCTTTTTTACTGTATATTGTTAATTTTGTTATTAATAACCCTGTACTCTGCTCTAGGAAGTGAGGGGGGGGGTTGAGGATGGGTGGGTGGGTGGGTAAATAGGTAGATAAATAGGATAATATAGATAGGGTAATTTATGAGAGAGGTGCTGCTTGGAGGGATGAGAGGGGAAGAAGGTGAAGGGAGGAAGTAGGATGGTAAGAGGAGAAGGGGAGGGGAAGAGAGTAGTGAGGGGAGGAGAGAAAGAGGAGGGAAGTAAGGAAGGTAGTAGGGAGGGTGGTTGCAGCAAGCGGCACCTATGGTTATAGTTATGATTATGAATTTATTTTATTTTGCAAAGTGAATCTTGTTGTATAATTATGTTGGATAAATGGAAAATATTTTTTTTTTTTTTAAAAAAAAAGAAAAAGTGCAGGCAAACCACTTGCCTTTCTAAAAACTATAAAAGAACACAACGTTACTTTCAGGATGTAGCTATTTAAGGACTCGAAATCCTACTTTAGATTCAAACAAACAACCAAATCCTTGCTCTTTACCGGCCGTTTCCTGCCACACCTGTTTAACTAGTATAAAACAAAGGCATTAAGGTAAATACAAAACGTGGCCATTTTTATTGTGCAATAATTAATCGCACGGATCGTGATACCCGCCGAAGTTTCCCCAGCCAATGCTTAAGTTGCAAAAGTCATTTTGTGCCGAACGCTATTACGAGGTAGCCCTTGATTTGCAACCGTTCATTTAACGACTGCTTGAAGTTAGAGCAGCACTGAAGAAAGCAGCTTTAGGACCGTTTTGCAGATCTGACCCTTGCAGCATCCCCCGCGGTCGCGGGGTCAAAATCCGGACGCTTGGCCACGGGTTCATATTTATGATGGTCGCACCCTCCTGAGGTCACGTCGATTCCCCCTTTTGCGACGCTCTGACAGGCAGAAGTCCTTGGGGGAAGCCATATTTACTTAATAACCCAACTGCAGGGATTCCCTTAACAACGGTGGCAAGAAAAGTCGTAAAATGGGACGAAACCAGTGGTGGGATTCAAATAGGTGAACAACCGGTACTTGTGTAATGTGAGGATCGAGCCTTCTAGAGCAGTGGTTCTTAACCTTTTTGAACGAATCGCCCCCTTGAGCCAATGAGGAAGTTGTCATCGCCCCCCCTCCCCCAACATAACTTCTCAATCACAACATAGGAAATAATTCTTCCATTTATGCAAACGCCTTTTTTTTGGGTTTTCTTTAAAATTGTCATCAGGACATATCGATGCAAATAATTTATTTCCAGTCTTTTTCCCCGTATCTCCCATATTCTGGCCAATGGCGTGCCACTGTATGGGTAGAAGCTGCTGCGCAACGCGCATGAAGATAAGCGATGCGTCTTCACAAATGTACGGCATTCTGTACTGAAGCTAGCTGGAGGAACATTTGAAAACACAATTCAATCCACTAATAGCGATCATCTGATGTTTTTGTACGACAGATATACAGCTATTCACTGTACAAAAAAATCTCAAGCGTCCCCAAAACTTGTTGCTCCATCGCTCCCACATCGCCCCCTTTTCGTTCCTTTGCTCCCACGTCGCCCCTTTTCATTCCATCGCCCCCTTGAAAAACGAAATCACCCCCTGGGGGGCAATATTGCCCAGGTTAAGAACCACTATTCTAGAGGCTCAAAATGGCACCCGCAGGTTGTTTGAATTGGTAATGAACCCAGGAAGGTGAATTCAGAGTTTTCAGCCGACAACTAGTAGTTTAAAGCTTCGCATTCACAGCGAAGATCCTGGGAGGGGGTGGAGGGGTGGATTGTAATGAGGAGGCAGCTGTCTGTAATGAGCTGTCTGCCTCTGAAAAACTCAACGGAGAAGGGAATTGATTAAAGAGAGAAGAAATGGTGCAGCACTGAGCCCAGAGCTGAACCAATCCCAACCCCCCCCCCAAAGAAGGAAAAAAAGGGTAGAGAATCCACGAATGGCAATAACTACCTTTCTGAATCTAAATTGGGAGCCAAATTCTCACGTCTCCTCAGGGCTGAGACCAACGAAACTGGGGCATGGTCAGAGCCTGCAGAGGCATGGCAACTTTGATTGTTTGGTCTGATTGGGCTAGAAGACTAAATCAACCCATTCGTGGATTCTACATTCCTCTACATGCTGGAGAACAACCGGTTCTCTGTGTGGATGCCGCTCCCAGAAGTCCATTCTGGGCCTGGGTCACAAAAAAAATTAGCTACCGGTTTTTGCCAAAGTGATGCGAACCGGCTGAATCCCACTACTTAGCAAATGTCTCGCTTTGCGACGGACACTTTGGGCTCTGTTGTGGTCGTAAGTAGAGGACCATCTCTATTTGTCCTGGGCCAAACTCTGCAGGCTTGCTTTCTACCGTTTCAAAACAGCAAGCCTCTAGCACAGGGGTTCTCAACCTTGGCAACTTTAAGACTTGTGGACTTCAGCTCCCAGAATTCCTCAGCCAGCTGGCTGAGGAATTCTGGGAGTTGAAGTCCACAAGTCTTAAAGTTGCCAAGGTTGAGAACCCCTGCTCTAGCACGAGTTAAACAAGTTGGTCAACTTTTTGGCGATTAAAAGCAGCTTTTTAAAATTATTTCAGCAGCCGAGATCAGCAGGGAATTCAGTGCTAAGGTCTCTATGGGTCGTCCTCCACTTACAACTGTTTGTTTAATGACTCTTCAAAGATACTGGGAAAAGTGACTGAGGACCGTCTTTCACACTTACGGCCGTTGCAGCCTCCCCGTGGTCCTGTTTGATCCAAATTCAGAGGCGTGGCAACTGACTCGTACTTATGACAGTCGCAAAATTCACTTAACAGCCGTCGCCCTTAGCAACAGCAATTTGGGGGCTCAATTGTGGCCATGTGCCGAGGACCACCTGTAGTCAGTTGATTGGAGACTCGTCATCCATTGTATTAAAGAAAGAATCACAATGGATCAGACCCGATTATACAAATTATACGAAGGCAGGACAAGAAGCCACAGATGGAAACTCATCAAGGAGAGAAGCAACCTGGAACTAAGGAGAAATTTCCTGACAGTTAGAACAATTAACCAGTGGAACAACCTGCCTCCAGAAACAATGAATGCTTCAACATAAGAAAAGACTGAACAGCCATTTGTCCGAAATGGTATAGGGTTTCCTGCCTGAGCAGGAGGTAGGACTAGATAACCTCTAAGGTCCCTTCCATCTTTATTATTATTGTTATTATGGATCATTGCACAGTCATGCAGATGTTCAGACTGGATTTGGCATTTTGTCTACCTATCGAGTCCTTACCCAGGACCTGGGATAGGCAGATGTGGATGTTTGATGGTATTACAGATCTCGTCGCAGGAGGGAAGCAGTTCCTAGTAAGGCCGCCTTTTGCAATTGACTAATGGCGAATTTGTCAATGCCAATGGTGTTCAAGTGGTGCTCCAGTTGTTTTGGGATTGCACCCAAGGCGCCTATGACTATAGGTACTACCCTTGCTTGCTTTTGCCAGTCTTTCTATTTCTATTTGTAGGTCTTTGTATTTTGTTATCTTCTCTAGTTCTTTCTTGTCTATTCTGCTGTCTCCAGGCACTGCCACGTACACTGTCCAGACTTTTTTATCTTTCTTATCGACAACTGTTAAGTCCGGGGTGTTGTTGTTGTTGTTGCTATTATTATTACTAAATTGAGGAACTAAGCCAGTAACATCCCCTGTACGCTGAAGGGTAAGATCGATGGTAGAACCTAAAGTGTATTTTGAGTAACACGTAAGCTGTTCTTCTTGGCAGAACCGTAACTGAAAATCACAGACATGGAGACTAACTCTCCGTCTTGAAATGGATGTTCGTTTTGCATATATTATGTACCACTGCTAAA